GACAGCTTGAGGCTCTGTCTCAAAAAAAAAAAAAAAAAAAAGAATTGCCCAGTAGGAGCCTGCTTAGCTGATGCTCAACCTCCCTCTCTGCATCCACTTCACATTCCCTCTCCAAACTCATGCCTGGACCTGCCATCCTCTCTCCTTCTCCAGGAAGCCTCTGGTTATGCCCCAGCCTGAGTCCAGGGCTTTTCTTGGATACTCCACTGCTCCCTGCAATGCCCTGCCCTGCCCCCACTCGGACTGTGAGTGCCTCCCTAGTCCTGCTGTGTTAGCTTCCTGGTGACCACTGTGTGCCCAGAGTCTAGAGCCAGGCCTGAGACCAAAGAGATGCCCATAAACAGGCTTGAATAAATGAGTATTCTAGGCCTCCTTTCCCTTCACCCCATCCCAGCCTAACCAGCCTCACCTGCCACCTGCACCACTGCCAGCCTTCTGATGGCCCCAAGATCCCCTGCCTGATGAGGTAACCCTCCTCAAATCTAGCCCCACACAGGTCTGCCCACACCCTTGGGTGGCTTTCCCCATCTGGGGATGGAGTAGTAACACCTTCAGCTGGTCCCAGCCCCCAACTCCTCCTAGGCCCCTGAGTGTTTTCAATGCCTTAAAGTCCTAGCATGTGTTCTTCCCTCTAACTAAATGTCCTTCTTCACCTAGTGAAATTTTTGTCCCTTCTCCCTAAACCATCCTTGACCCCTCCCAGGCATCAGCCCTGCCTAGCTTGGGCTCTGAGAGCACTTTGCTCTGAATAACCATTTCTTGAACACTTACAATATAATATCCCTTGGCCCAGCATGAACCAGGCCCTTTACACCATTATCTCCAGGTGCCTTCCCAAAGACCCGCTGAAGCGGCTATGAATATACCCCATTTTATAGAAGGAGGCCCTGGGGTAGAGGTGAATAAACTGCCACAGCCAGACGGCCACAATTTGCACCAGGCGGTCTGCGGTTCCCCATCAGTGGCTGTGTGCCCCAGCCAGGTGCACCTTAGGAAGGCAAGGGTAGGCTTGGCCTTTCTGTCTTCAGCCCCACTTGATGCAGGGCACTCAGTGGCTGCCAATAGAATCAACCCCAAACCCCAGCAACTAGCCTGGAACCCAGTTACCTACCCCCGCAGCTGTGAGCCCCACTTACCTCCCTGAGGGCCTGCTTCTCCTTCTCAGCCTCCTGCAGGTACTGCTGGCCCTCACTCTCCAGGGTCTGCAGCCGTTGCTCAGCAGCCTCAGCCTGGGCCCGCAGCCTGGGCCCTTCGCGTTCCCACTGCCTCCGCTCGCGGCCTACAGCTGCCAGCGCCTCTGCCAGGGCCTCCCGCTCCCGTGATGCAGCCTCCAGCTCCCGGCCAGCTGCCTCCACTGCCTCCCGCAGCCGGGCCTGCTCCTGGGCCTGAGCCTCTGCCTCTCGGTGAGCCTCAGCCTCTGCTCTCCTTGCTTGGGCCAGCTCCTCTGACAGGCGGGCAGTCTCTTTGCCGCGGGCCTCCAGTCTTCGGGCCTGGGCCTCCAACTCAGCTCCCAAGGCCTCAGTCTCTCTCCTCAGCTGTGCCACCTCCTCCCTGAGGGCTTCCTCCTCTGGGACACCACTGGCCTGTATCTTTCCTGGGGTTGGCACTCCCCAAGCCTGGGCCTCAGAAGCCTCCTTCAACTTCTGTTGTGCTTGCTGCCAGGCTGTGTCCTGCACTGTCCCCTCCAGCCTCGGTTCCTGCTTTTCGGCCCCTGTTTGACCTCTGGAAAGATCTTGACCCTGGCCCTGGCCTGGGCTTTCCTGCTCCTCCAGCTGCACATGGAGACTGGACTCTGAGGGTCTCAGCCCCCAAGACTTAGGCACCAATTCACCTTGGGGAGACTCTCTCCCTTCAGTCTCTCCTCCCAGCAACTGCTGGGCCTGAATTTTGATCTCTGGACCCTGACATTGGAACACAGAGGTGGGGATCTGGAGAGGGAACTCCTGTGTCTCCACCACAGGGTCTGACTCTTGGGGGGTCAAGCCTGAGGACTGAGGGGCCATTGTAGCCATCTGGAGAGGCCTTTCTGTCACTGTCACCTGTGAGTCTGAATCACATGTCTGGGGACACTCAGATAACCTCTTGAGGCCTGAGTCTGATGCTGGGGGAGGAAGATCCAAGGCCTGGAGGCCTCCATGCCCTGCCTGGTGGAGCAAACTTTGGGGACCAAGCTCTGAGGCCAGGGGAGGCAGGAGAGTCTTATCCAGGACAGGAAGCACGGGGACCTCGCTCTGCTCCTCCAGCAGGGGGCGCTGAGGACACATAAGAGGCACAGTCAGGCCCAGGAAGGACAAGCGGGAGGGACCTGCCAAAACAGAGGGGGAGAGGACTTACCTGGCCTCCTGGCTGCCCCTGAAGCACCCGAAGCAGCCCTCGAAGCTCCTGATTCTCCCTCTCTAGGCTCCGCAGTCTCCCAGCCTCTGCCTCCCTCACTTCATCTTGCAGTGAGGTGGGCACTCCTGGCAGTGGTGCTGAGGGGTGTGAGTGGAGGTCAGGACCTCTCCCATACTCCCTGGCTTCTCACTTAAACCCCCAGAGACCTGGGGAAGCGATGAAGTCAGAAGCCCTCCCCACTGGAGCTGCCAGAAAGCACCGGCAGCCTCCACCCCAGCTGCTTCACTGGGCCCCACTCACCTTCCCCAGGGGAGCCTGGAGGTGGCTCCAGGCTTCGCTGAAGTTCCAGCTCCAGCTCCACATTCTCTTCCACCAGCTGGTCCACCTGATGCCGCAGAGAGTCCAGCTCCTGGAGGCAAGGACAGGGTCATACAAGCTCTCCCCACCATGCCTAGACCAAGTGTGTAGGCCAGAGGGTCACTAGAGGTCACTGGGTTTACTAAGAACCCTGAGGGAGGCTGGGAGCAGTGGTTCATGCCTGTAATCCTAGGCCGAGGTGGGTGGATTGCCCTGAGCTCATAGATTTGAGACCAGCCTGAGCAAGAGCGAGACCTCATCTCTAAAAACAGCTGTGTGTTGTGGCAGGCACCTGTAGTCCCAGCTACTTGGGAGGCTGAGGCAAGAAAATCGCTTGAGCCCAAGAGTTGGAGGTTGCTGTGAGCTATGATGTCACAGCACTCTACGGAGGGTGACAAAGTGAGACTCGGTCTCAAAAGAAAAAAAAAATCCTGAGGGATCATTGGGGTCAGCAGGGGTGACAAGGCAACCCAGCTGGGATCACTCTAGTGACCTCACCGCATGGGCCTCGCCCAGTCGGGTCCTCAGCAAGAGATTCTCACGCTGGGTCTCGTGCAGCCGGGCACAGCGATCTCGGGCTGCCTCCAGCTGCTCTTCCAGCAGTGCCTTGGAGGCCTCCAGAGCCCCTGAGAGTGCCTGCTCCTCCTGGTGGGAAAGCAGGGAGAGACAGCTGTGTGATGCAGCCCCACATGCTCCAGGGCCTAGGGGTCCCAAACCCCGACCTAGGACGGCTACAGAACCCGCCTCCCCTCCCCCATCTGGCCCTGACCTCTATCACCTCTCTCCAGGGTCTCCGCAGCCCTTGGCCCTGCCCTTCTCCTAGCAGGCCCCACCCCATCTCTCCAAGAACTGCCATCCAAGGCTCCATCCCTCCAGGCCCTACTCATCAGTACCCCCTCTTACTAGGGTGTCCAGACCTACCCAACGCACTTGACCCCACCCTCCTCCCGAGGACCTACCCCTTCCATCTGACCATTTCCAGAGGGCCTTTCCCAGGCCCCACCTCCCTGCGATTATCCTCACCCATTTCTTCTAGCAGGGACCAGTCCCTCCACAAAGCCTGACCCTCTTTTCTCTCTAGGCCCTGTCTCGTCCCTCCGCTCAGCCCGCCCCTCCCGCAGGCCCCGCCTTCAGACCCCGCCCCTCGACCCGCCCCGCGCCTTACCGCCAGCTGGCCCTTACAGGCCTCCGCAGCCTGCAGCCGCTCACGGCAACGCTGCAGCTCCTCCTGCAGGCGGGGCAGGCGGCCCGCGCGCTCCCGCAGCGCCTCTGCCTCCTCGCGATACAGCTCTGCTCGCTTGGCCTGTCCGGTGAGCGCCTGGGCCTGGGCCAGACGGTGCCGAGCTGAGAACTGCCAGCCGCGGACCCGAGGGATTAGGGGCGAGGGGGGTCGGGTCGGGAGGGTGGCAATGGGACCAGGTCGGGGAGAGTTAGGGAATGCGCTGATGGTGGGGAGCGTCTGTGCTTACCTCGTGGCGGAGCCTTCGAATTTCAGCCTCCAAACCCTGCACCTCCGCCTGGGAGTCTAGCAGGAGCTCAGCCTTCTCCTCCCTGATAGGAAAGGACACTGGAGGGGGTCTAGAGTCCACAACCCCCAGCCTTTCCTAAGCCTAACCTCTCCGGTACCCACCGCAGCTGGGCCCCATGCAGGTATAATCTTCCCCTCTCCCCTGGGGTCCCCTGGCCGGCCTGCACACTTACAACTCCTGCCGCAGGCGCCGAAGTTGAGCCTTGGTGTTGGCCAGCTGCAGGGCCAGATGGTGCGAGGGTCCCTCTGCAGGAGCCCTAGTAGAAGCCTCAGAGGGCAGAGGGGCTGGCTCTCGCTCCAGCAGCAGTTCGGCCAGCCTCTGTTGGAGATAAGAGTTAACGTCGGGGTAACCCTTACCATGCCACTACACATCGTCCCCCAGTCACCACAAGATGAGTCAGATGGGGACAGCCCTGCTGGCCCAGGACCTCAGAACATAAACCCACACCTGGGCCCCAAACTTCCACCTCCTCCACACATCTGGCTCCCCAGTGGCTCTCCCATTCCTCAACCTGTGTCCACGATGCCCCTGCTGCCCCCTACCTGGGCTTCCAGGTCACGCTCCCGTGCCAACTTCGACAGTGTTCCCATCAGGCTCCTGGACAGCACCTCCAGCTCCAGAAGCGCCAGTTCTCCAGGCTCTGGCCCAGCCAGAGCCAGCACCATGCCAGCCCCAGGCTGTGTCACCTGGGGCACGGAGAGAGCAGTTCAGAGGAAGAAAAGGGCGGTGAGGGTGTCCCCAGGTGGCTGTGCCCATCCCAGGCTTTCCACCTGCCTCAGTACCTCCTGGATGGCAACGGCCAGCTCACTCTGGACCTCGAGGCTGAGGCCCTGGATGTGGCGGATGAAGAGTTCCCGGTGCTCACACTGAGGGGGGAGACAGGAGTGGGGGGTATGGTACAGGGTCTTCCTCTCTGCTGCCAAAGCTCTGCTGTACCCCTCCCGCCCCGGCTTACCTGCACTGACGCCCCCAACAATAGCCGCAGGATGCCTTCCAGTGCCTCCACCGCCTCCTCTGCGGGGCACAAGCCACAAGGAGTTAATGGGTAGGGGGTGCGGGGATAGCAGCAGGAGGACATGGTGGGAGTGAGCACCTGAGAAAGGGTCAAACCCCAACGTCTGCAGGTCAGGGGGTGGCAACAGGATCAGCAGCTGCAGCTCCTCCTGGACTCACAAGAGACAGATGACATTAAGAGGAGCCTTCCTTCAGGGGTCTCCCGATCTCCGCCTTCCCCTCTTCTCCCCTTACCTGGTAAAAGTCCCTCAGTCTGCACCACAGATGGTTTAGGTTCCACACTCGCCAAGATTCGGGTTTTCGCACCATCCGCGGTCTCCCTCGAGCACTGGGGGCGCTGTGAGCAGGGCAGGGTGAGGGGGGGTCGGTGGAGGCAAAGCAAGGACCAGCCCTCTTCAACCAGGCTCCTCCCACCAACCAGCCCCCTTCAACAAGGCCCCGCCTACCACCCAGGCTCCTCCCACCAACCTCCCCTCTTCAGCTATTCCCCCTGCCCCAGTGCCCCTTAGATTTGCGGTCCCCAACCCTCGGGCCAGCAGGCCCCAAGGAAGGAGGTGAGCAGAGGCTGAGAGGAAGGCTTCTTGATATTTACAGCCACTCCCCTTGGCTGCATCACCGCCTGAGCTCCACCTCCTATCAGCTCAGGGGCATTAGATTCTCATAGGAGCAAGAACTCTACTATAAACTGCCCAGCGTGTGAGGCATCTTGGTTGCTCCCTCCTTATGAGAATATAACGCCTGGTGATCTGAGATGAGCTGATGCTAGCACTGGGACAGTGTAGTTGCTGGAAAGCAAGCTCAGATCTCCCACTGATTCTGCATTATGGTGAGATGTATTATGTTGAGATATTACAATATATTACAGTGTAGTAATAGTAGAAATAAAGTGCACAATAAATGTAATGCACTTGAATCATCCCAAAAACATTCCCACCCCCCATCTCTTCCATAAAACCAGTTCCTAGTGCCAAAAAGTTAGGGACCACTGCCTTACATGATGCCCAGCACCCGGAGGAGCAGGGCCCCATCGCTGAGACGCAGGAACCTCTTCTCTAGGCAAAGAGGTCTCTTTTCCTCTTCTTCCTCCTCTTCCTCTTCTTCCTCCAGCTCCTCCACCTCCCCCACCAGCTTGGCCAGTCCCAGTGCCTGTGGGGAACCAGAGGGGTCAGTGGGATTTGATGGGAGCCCCCAACAGCAGAGTGAATCCCAAGTCCTCTGAGCTGCCCCAGTGAGCCCCAGACCCCTCAACAATTCCCTGAACCCTCTGGCCCTGGATTGAGACCCTCTTCCCCTTACCATAGCCCCCTGGATGGCTTCATCCCCCCACACTGGAGCCCAACCCTCCCCTCAGGCCCCAGCTCTGCCCCACCCTCCCCCAGCCCCAACACAAGCCCACAATAGGGCTCACTTCCCTCTCCCTCCTCCTCCCACCTGCCCCCTCACCCAGGTGGCCAGACTCCCACTCAGGAAGTCTCTGAGTCTGGGCCCCTTGCCCCCCTCCATGTCAGGGTCAGGGTGCCGGTCCCGCTGTGGCAGCTGCACCTGCCCTGAGAGGAAGAGGAAGTCCCTGAATGGGGGATCCTGGGGACAGCCACAGACACTCTATGCAGCTTCCTCCTTCCGGGTTCAGGCCAGCCTGTGCACCCCCAGAGTCCTGCCTCAGCCCTTACCTCACCACCCCACATCCTCTCAGCATCTCAGGGAGGGCCAGCCCAGAGGTTAACCAGGGGAGTCCCACAACCCATTGACACAATGGGCAATAGTAAGTGAGTCCTCTGCCTCTCTGGGACTTGTTTTCCCAACTTTAAATTGGAGAAGACAATCTCAGGGCCTCTAAAGGGACTGTGGGCCCTGTATGGTGAGTCCGGGTGCCCACACATGCATCTTCTGGTGTGCCAGGCTTCATTCATTAGCACCTCCTTCCCTTTCCCCTTAAAGTTTCTCAAACTTGTCCAAACTGCCCTAACCTATGAAGCCTGGTTCAGATGCCCCCCTCAAAAAAGACTCCTCCAAACCCCAAATGGAAGTAAACGTCCCTCCTCTGGCCCTGCCCCACCCCATACTCTACACACACTGGACTGAGGGCAGTGTAGCTGTACTAGGTACTATAACAGGAAGGGATTTTTTTTTTTTTTTGAGACAGAGCCTCAGTCTGTCACCCTGGGTAGAGTGCTGTGGCATGTAGCTCACAGCAATCTCCAACTCCTGGGCTCAAACGATTCTTCTGCCTCCGCCTCCCAAGTAGCTAGGACTACAGGGGCCCTCCACAATGCCTGGCTATTTTTTGGTTGCAGCTGTCATTGTTTGGCCGGCCTGGGCTGGATTCGAACCTGCCAGCTCAGGTATATGGGGCTGGCGCCTTAGCCGCTAGAGCCATAGGCACCAAGCCAACAGGAAAGGATTTGACCTTGGCAGGATAGCCAGGAAAGACATCCTGGAAGAGGCATGAGATGGGGAGTGACTCAGTTAACTAGGCAGTGGAGAAGAAGGAAAAATAACCAGGGGCTCAGCGCCCGTAGCTCAGTGAGTAGGGCACCAGTCACGTACACCAAAGCTGGAGGATTCGAGCCCAGCCTGGGACTGCCAAACAACAATGACAACTGTAACCAAATAATAATAACAATATAATAACCAGGTGTTGTGGCGGGCGCCTGTAGTCCCAGCTACTTGGGAGGCAGAAGCAGGAGAATCACTTGAGCCCAGGAGTTGGAGGTTGTTGCGAACTGTGATGCCACAGCACTCTACCCAAGGTGACAGCTTGAGGCTCTGTCTCAAAAAAAAAAAAAAAAGAAAGGAAGGAAAGGAAAAAGAACAGTACACCAGGGAATGGAAACAGAACACACACGGGTTCAGGCAGGTAGGAGCATGGTCAGTACAAAGATCAGAAACTATTCTTGTTTTCTCTATTCCAATATACTTTATTTTTCACATTTCACATCTCACAAGTCAGATTACATGGTATAGCTGCTGGCTGGCCAGCTGCAGTCCTGGCACAGTCGTCAATTGCCTGCACATGCTCACAGTTGAAAGCCCCAGCATCTAATCCTCCAGAAAGGGGGTCAGCAGCTTGGAAGAAAACCCCAGAGGCAAGAGTAGAGCACTTTTTAGCCCCAGGACTGAAATGGTGGGAGCCCCCAGGGGAGGCGAACTAAGCTCGTCAGCGACACTCCCTAAGCAGAGGGAAAAGTCAACTCTTCTCCTCTGCATAATTGCAATGCTGCCTTAAGAGCTCCTGGCTGTTTTATGGAATGTTTGAAGGAGGACAGCTCCTTCCAGCACTCTTGACAGCTTAGAGAAGGAAACACACAGACATCACGACTCTCAGACCAGAAATAATTCTAGGGAGTCAGACTCTAAATGTGAAGGAGTTTTCCAAACACAGCAACCAATTTATTTTGCTTCCATTATCCTTTGTCTGTGTGCATGAGCATTATATATGATGAGCATCTACATCTAAGTCAAACAGAGTTCTTTCAGGAAATATAAAAGAAAAATTCTAGTGATGAAAGAGCCTTGGGACATAGTTAACTGGCAACATTCTTTTCTTCCTTAGTGACATTTTTTACAATTGATGACATCTTAAGTTTGATGAAATATGGAGTAATAATAATAACAATCATAGCACACACAGGCTTACAATGAGCCAGACAGGGTTATAAGTACTTTATCCTTATTCTTTTTTTAAGTCTTTTATTTCATATTTATTTTTTGTATTAAATCATAGCCGTGGCTCGGCGCCTATAGCTCAACCGGCTAAGGCGCCAGCCACGTACACCTAAGGTGGCGGGTTCGAATCCCCAGCCCGGACCCGCCAAACAACAATGACGGCTGGAACCAAAAAATAGCCGGGTGTTGTGGCAGGCACCTGTGGTCCCAGCTACTTGGGAGGCGGAGGCAGGAGACTCGCTTGAGCCCAGGAGTTGGAGGTTGCTGTGAGCTGTAATGCCACGGCACTCTACCCAGGGGGACAGCTTGAGGCTCTGTCTCAAAAAAAAAAAAAAAAAAAATCATAGCCGTGTACATTAATGCAATCATGGGTACCTTTATGCTTATTCTTATATTTGCTCTGGGCTAGTCTGTGAAATAAGGGCAATGGATTAGCTCTATTTTACAGAGGAGAAAACTGAGGTGCAGAGAGGTTAAGTAACTTGCCTAAGGTCAACGGCTATTAAAGGTAGAGTCAACTAAAAGAAGACAGTGGGGCCAGAGTTCAAAGAGCAAGGAGCACCAGCCGTCAAGGTGACCTAAGCCTGACCAGGCCACAGAAACCATGAAGGATTGTTAGCAGATGAGCATAGCTAGCTGTTCAACTCTCTTGAAATGCATCTGGAAATGGGGATAATCCTCTCAGAGAGTTATTGTGAGGATCCCATGTGCTAAAGGCCAGCACTAGGGTTCATGAAATGGCCCCTTTCATTTCCCAAGGATTCCTGCACAGGAATTCCCAAGGAGCACCTGCTCTAAGCCACCAGCAGGTCCTACAGGGTTAACCAAACGTGATGACAAGGGCTCCCCTTGAGAAGGTCCAGGGCCTCTGTCTGGTTTAACATCACTGAACCATGCCCTTCCTCACACCTCAGAGGCAGGGGCCGTGTCACCGATTCCGCTCACATTCATCACTCCAGTCAAGCCTGGCTGCCCCTCCATCTGGTTCTCTGACTCGCCTCAGCCGAGTCAGGCAGAGGGAGACTGGGGGAAGCAGAGGAGACTGGGGGAGGCAGGGGAGGCTGTGGACAGCCTCCCTCAGCAACTGACACGGAGGTTCTGGGATTCTGGGGCCCTATTGGGCATTGAGGGGTATTAATTAGAGGCTGGCTGTGGTCCCTTTCCATTGCTAGATTTTTCCTTTAATTTTTTTTTTCAGATATGGGCACATGATCCAAAATATTAAGAGTGTGTAAAAGAATAGAGAGAAAAACCAAGTCTCTTACCCATCACTCCCAACCCCCAATCCCTGATCCCCAGGCCCGAGGCAACCACTGGTACCATGTTTTTTGTGTCCTTCCTGAAGATACAAATGGCTGCACATGTGAGCCTGCAACAAGTGATTGCAACCACATACCCGGCCATGTACCTTCCTTACTTCGCAATATATTTTGCAAGCTATTTCATTTCTGTTCAGAATCATTAGCCTTGACTTTTTTTTTTTTTTGAGACAGAGCCTCAAGCTGTCACCCTGGGTAGAGTGCTATGGCATCACAGCTCACAGAAACCTCCAGTTCCTGGGCTCAAGCGATTCTTCTGCCTCTGCCTCCCAAGTAGCTGGGACTACAGGCGCCCACACAACACCTGGCTATTTTTTGGTTGCAGCCATCATTGTTGTTTGGCGGGCCTGGGCTGGATTCGAACCCACCAGCTCAGATGTATGTGGCTGGTGCCTTAGTCGCTTGAGCCACAGGCACTGAGCCATAGCCTTGACCTTTTTAACAGCTGCATAGTATTTTACCATGTTACTATCTCATCATCACTTAAACAGTCTCCTGTTGACAACTATTAGACTGACAGATGGACCACATAGTCAACCATGTGCAGACTCCTCCTTCAGGGGCTCAGCCTCTCCATCCACCCCAGGCAGGGTTGGGGGAAGGACTCTGTCTTCCACTTCTCCTATGACTTCAAGTTTCTTTTATTTTTATTTTTTATTTTTTGGAGACAGAGTTTCAGTCACCCTAGGGTTGAGTGCCATGCCATAAATCAAAACAACCTCAAATTTTGGGGTTCAAGTGATCCTCTTGCCTTAGCCTCCCGAGTAGCTGACTACAGGCGCCTGCCACAGTGCCTGGCTACTTTTTAGAGATGGGGTCTCGCTCTTGCTCAGGCTGGTCTCAAACTCCTGAGTTCAAGCAATCCTCCCACCTCAGCCTCCCAGAGTGCTGGGATTAGGTGTGAGCCACCTTGCCCAGCCTGAGTTTGAATTTTCCAGAAAGCTCTAGTCCTGCCCCAAAGGCCTAAAACAGGATAGCTCTGTGGTTTGAGTTTGAATTTTCCAGAAAGCCCTAGTCTTACCCCAAAGACCAGAAACAGGGAGGCCTGGGCAGGTCCAGCAAGAGCCTCAAGCCAACCAGGGCTGAGTCAGAGTGAGGGTTTTTCTCCCTGCGGGAGGCAGCCCCAGAGCCCTTCCTGGTACCTCAGCAGCCTGGCTAGGGCCTAGCTTGCTAACCAGATGGTTCCGGGCCCCAGGTTCAAAAAATGAAATAAATACCAGCCTTCAGGGCCTTCAGTGTACCTAGTATTCTGGAGCTGGGTCTGCAGGACTCCCCCTTCTCACCCAAATGTCTGAGAAGGGGTTATTTCCCCACCCACCATTTGAGGGTGGAAATAATGAAGCTGAAATTGGACAAAAGTGGAAACGCCCAGCAGAGTGGCAGGAGGCAGTCAAAGCCAGGGAAGTGGAGCCAATGCCCATCCAGGTGCCCAGTAGCACACAGAGCAGCCTGCAAGGCCTCCAGCAGCCAGAGCGTGAGGCCCAGACCAGGCCCCACTACCTGACACTTGGCAAGATTTCCCTTCCTGTTCTCCTCCCACACCCCCACACTCCTGAAGGTACTTTCCCTGCCTCTCCCTGGGCCTCTGAGCAACACTGGGTCACAGATACCCCTCTGCCTCTAGCAGCCTCCACCCAGCTCCAGAAGAGTCATCCAAAACCACTAATGGGCTTCCTGTCTTCTTTCCTCCCTTCTTCACACTCTCCTCCTTTTCCTGTCCCTTCATCCTTCTTTCCTTTCCACACCCTAGCTTTAAAAAAAAAGAGGGGGGGCAGCACCTGTGGCTCAATGCGTAGGGCGCTGGCCCCATATAGAGGGTGGTGGGTTCAAACCCAGCCCTGGCCAAACTGCAACAAAGAAATACCCAGGCGTTCTGGAAGGCGCCTGTGGTCCCAGCTAGTCGGGAACCTGAGGCAAGAGAATCGCCTGGGTCCAGGAGTTGGAGGTTGTTGTGAGCTGTGACGCCACAGCACTCTACCGAGGGTGACAAAGTGAGACTCTACAAAAAAAAAACACTAACTGGCTCACGGCCTTTCCCAGCTTACAACACTCCAGCAGCTTCTCCCTGCACTTTGTTTTTTTTTTTTTTGTTTGTGTGTTTGTTTGTCTAGAGATGGAGTGTCACTTTATTGCCCTCAGTAGAGTGCCGTGGCATCACACAGCTCACATCAACCTCCAACTCCTGGGCTTAGGTGATTCTCTTGCCTCAGCCTCCCGAGCAGCTGGGACTATAGGCACCCACCACAACACCCAGCTATTTTTTGTTGCAGTTTGGCCAGGGCCGGCTTGAACCCGCCACCCTCGGTATATGGAGCCAGCGCCCTACTCACTGAGCCACAGGTGTCGCCCTGCACTTTGAATCAACTTCCAACCACTCCCCTTGACTTCAAGGCCCTGGAGAGAGGAGCCCCAGCTCACTACCCTGACCTTATCCTTCCTTCTAGCCTCTCCTCTGCCACTCTGACCATCAGGGTTCCTCAATCCTTCTCCTCCTCTGCACCTCTGCATTTGCTGTTCCCTCAGCCTGGATTCCCTGTCTACCCGCCTCCAAACACGCACACTCTCCATGACCGGCTCTGTCTCATACTACTGGTCTTGTTCAACTGCCCCTTTCTCAGAAAATCTTTTCCCTTCTAAAGCAGCCCCCAGCCCTTCCCCCCAAAAGCATTGCTCCACTCTGTAACTGCTCTGCACCTTCATGTTCCCCTCTACCCACTAGAGTGGAAGCTAGTGTGGAGTCCTCCCTGACTGGTGCTGGCTCCATGACAATGCCAGTGTTTGCTGCCCATTTACCTGTGCTCTATTTGAAGTACTTCAATAGTATTAACCACTTCATTCCCTCCTCTGCCATAAAATACAAGTGCTTCATTTCACAATGAAGAAACTGACCCACAGAGAGGTTAAGTCACTTGCTTAAGGCCACAGGAAGTGGTGGAGCCAAGATACAGACGACAGCCAAAATAATGTTTTTGAACAAATTAGTTTGTGTTTCAGAGACAAAGAAAGTGAAGTCAGAGGGGAATGAGGGTAAATAGGGCAGCTGAAGGTAAAACTGAAGTCCTCAGACTCTGAGGTGGCACTGCCTCCCTGCCCCCTCCCTTCACACACTTCAGTGCCTTGTTGGTATCTGGTAGGAGAGCAAGGCCAGAGACCAGCATCCAACTAGCAAACAAAGCAAGACCCAGGGTCAAGCCCATAGCTGACCTCCTAATTAAACACACATTAAACATTCATTAAGGCCAGATATGGTGGCTCACACTTGTAATTCTAGCACTTTGGGAGGCTGAAGCGGCAGGATTGCTTGAAGCAAAGAGATCAAAACCAGCCTGGGCATCATAGCAAGACTCTGTTCTTACAAAAAAAAAAAAAAAAAGGTGGTAAGGCTACTGAGAAAAAGGCTAAGACTGGAGGATTACTTGAGCCCAGGAATTTGAGGGTGCAGTCAGCTACAATTATGTGCCTATACTCTAGCCTGAGTGACAGCGTAAGACCCTGTTTCAAAAAAACAAAACAAACAAACAAACAAAAAAACACCCATTAAGCAGTAAAAATAAATCCAGACGATAAAGCTTGGGTAGGCACGTGTCAGGAGAGAGCATGAGCATATATCATAGGCGGCCCTCAAAATGGTCTCAGAGTTTCCAGAGACCAATAAAACCACCAGAGCCCTTTGACCCAACACTCTGGCATTTGGGAACATGCCTCAGGGATAGAGCCCAAGAGGAAACAAAAATAGAAATGTGTCTGAAGTTGCCCGTAGCCAAATACTGGAGCCACCCAGATGTCCACCAAGAGAACCCAACTGAGCTGCAGCTTGCAGGCAATACCCCATTTCTGTCCTCACTACTGCTCAGCCCAGACCTCCGTCATCTTCCTCACCTGAAGGCCTTAACACAGGCCGTTTCCACCTCTGGGGACATCCTTCCGACCTGGCGCCAGCAGGGCCGGTGCCTGGTGTATTTACTGCTGTGTCCCCAGAGACCACTACAGTGCCTGGTACAGAGATGCCTTTCAGCAAATACTTCTTTTTTTTTTCTTTTGAGACAGAGTCTCACTCTGTTGCCCTTGGTGGAGTGCCCTGGCATCATAGCTAACAGCAACCTCAAACTCTTGGGCTCAAGTGATTCTCTTGAGTCAGCCTCCTGAGTAGCTGAGACTATAGGGACCCGCCACAATGCCCACCTATTTTTAGAGATGCGATCTTGTTCTAGTGAGCTCAAGCAATCTGCCCACCTTGGCCTCCCAGAATGCTGGGATTACAGGCATGAGCCACTGTGCCCTGCCTTGGCAAATACCTTATGTGACTGTGAGGGGACATGCAGTGATGTGGAGCACCTCAGTGTCTAGACAGATCTTTTATAATGACATAGAGATTGCAATGCTCAGAGCAAGAAGCAGCTTACTCTTCGGAGAAGTCATTTTTTTTTTTTTTTACACAGTCTCACTTTATCCCAAAGTTGAGTTTTAACCTCAAACGTCATTGTTGTTTGGTAGGCCCAGGCTGGATTCAAACCCACCACCTTAGGTGTATGTGGCTGGCACCTTAGCCACTTGAGCCACAGGTGCCGAGCCTTCATCAGTCTTTCAAATAGACTCTACCAGAGGTTCTCAATCTGTGGGTTGAGACCCCTATGTAACAATGACATCTGATACATCCTGCATATCAGATATTTATCTTTTTTTTCATATCAGATATTTACATTATGATTCATAACAGTAGCAAAATTACAGTTAAGAAGTAACAACAAGGCTTGGTGCCTGTGGCTCAAGTGGCTAAGGTGCCAGCCACATACACCTAAGGTGGTGGGTTCGAATCCCCAGCCCGGCCCGCCAAACAACAA